TATTATACGCAGACGACACTAAGATCTTTATGGCCACTAACAGCTCTGGTGACTGTGATCGCCTTCAGTCCGATCTGAATAATTTTGTGCAATACTGTACTCAAAATAAGCTTGATTTGAATGTTTCCAAGTGTTTTGCTATCACCTTTTCTCGTAAATTTAACCCTATTAATTACCAGTATAAAATCAATAATAAGTCACTTAACAAAGTTAAATCTATGAAAGACCTGGGTCTCATTCAAGATTCTAAACTTCTATTTGATAATCACATTGATTACGAAGTGAAAAAGGCCTCCAAGTCTCTTGGTTTCATTATAAGGTCTACATGTGAATTTAAATCTATTAAACTGATTAAAGTACTTTATTGTGCTTATGTGCGCTGTATCCTTGAGTATGCCTCTGTGGTCTGGAATCCACAATATAACGTGTATACTTCCCGTGTTGAGTCCATACAAAAAAGGTTCTTCAGATATCTACAATACAAGTGTAAGCAGTTGGACCATGGTTATGAAACGTGATGCAATAGATACCACTTCTTACCTTTAAAAAAAAGACGGCAACTCTTCGATATTACGTATCTATTAAAAATTGTCGCAGGCATCATTGATTGCCCTGCTTTGCTGGAAAAGGTAAGCGTCTGGGTTCCGCGTAGATTACCAACTAGACGTACTCAACCACTAGCTATTCCTAGAGTCAATACTAACTACCGCCGCAATACATTTATTATTCGTGCAAGTAACTTTTTTGACAAATTGTCAATAAATAACGGCGAATTAGAATTATTCCGTACCAAGCCTCATAATGTAAGTAGATTGTTTGCGTTGGAGTTCTTTGGCCCCCGCGCCGAGGGTGCAACAAATTCTTAAATACTCTCAAATTTTCTCCTCATCTTCGGGGATTTACTTTGTTTATTGTTACTGTTATCATGGCTTCTTTACATTTAAATAACCATATGTGAATACCTGTAAATGGCTTTTGTCGAAATGTCAGAGGTGTATTCATTAAAAACATATATATATATATATATATATATATATATATATATATATATATTATTTTATTTTATTTGGAACACCAACAGCATATAAACGTTACATGAATACAAATTGTACATGTCACTTTTTTTTATATAGACTTGAAAATATTGTAACAGATTTCTCCATCCTCAAATTAGTTTTACTAGTTTTATGTTGTTTCATATGTGAAACTTTGTAATTTATTTTAGAAAATAAATTTCTTTAAACACAAACCCATTTTATTTCCTCTTTTTTTTCTTCCTTTCTTTTTGTGACTTATTTTTTCTAAAGTATATATAATGCAAAAAAATTGTTACTTTAATAATAAGTAATGTTATAATTGTGGTAACTAAAATTACAATGACGAATTTATTACTTAAAAGCAAGAAGTTTAACGTTGGCGCTACAAACCGCCAAATAATTATTCCATGTCTGGATGTTTTCCCGTCATATAAAACTTATGCATATGAAAAGGATAAATTTCTAGTGCGATAGTATCTTTTTTAATTAAAACATAGAGTTTTTTTTAATATCAAACTAAGTAAACAGAGCATTTTTATAATATAAAAGTGAAAGACTTAGCTAATTTTTATTGCACACACTATTATGCTATAAATATCTTGTACCTTTTTATTATATAATTTTATTATATTATACGAAATGCATTTTATATACACGAAAAGGTCATCCAGACGTAGTTCCGGATCTATCTATAATATTATATAATTCTTAATAATACTTGCATATTCAAAATTTATATTTTAAGAAAATAAACATTATCATAAAAATTTTGCAATACAAACTTTACTCTTATTATAATTATATCCCGTTTACAACTTTCATAAGCACGAAATTTTTTATATTATATTATTGATGTATAATAAGAATATTATATAATCGTATTTGTGCTTGCATTTACAAAATATGCAGAAAAATACCTACACTGACCCTTTAATTTCAAAATGTACAAGAATTCAATTATTTAATTCTTTTTTTTTTCAAGATACATAAACATATTATTCAATTTTGGTTAAAATAAGGTTTGTCTAACTAAAAAGGAAACTTTAAATACCTTCTTTACAGCCAAAGATAAAATAAATAAATTAGAAGTGTTTCATTTTAGTAAAATAACACATAGTTTTAAGCTCGTAAGTGCATCGTTAACCCGAGCCACAAGCAAAAAAAAAAAATAATTAAAAAATAATTAAAAAAATATTACAGTTGATTCAAAGTAAAACCCTCAACGCTAGAGATACTAGCTATCGGAGTGGATATAATGCTACCTCAGACAGATCTTCAGGTGCCTTAGATTGTCTTGTAAATCTATTGAGATGATATTCAAAAATGTACTGTTTCTGTTAGCTTGCTGGATTTTAAATAGAATTTGTTTTAATTACTTTTAATTTTTTATCAAACTGTGCCCTGTGACCTTTGAGAAATGTCAACGGTAATAATAGAAAATACGAAGTAAGTGCATTGGATGATCAGTTTTGACGGGAAACCTAATACAGTGCTTAAGTTTTCAGGACTAAAACCATGACATTTATTATGCACAATGCCTGGTACTCGACTTCATTGAATCAATATTTTATAACAAAGTTTGAAACGCTTTTTAAGCTGTAAAAGTAAAACAATATGGTATCCTTTTTATGTAATTGGCTGTTATTACTATTTTTGACGGATAAAGTATGTGAAATACATCTGTTGCACTTCAGATCCTTTTTTAAATTTTTTGATATTTAAGTAATTACTATGTTGTACATTTGTATTATTATTGCATAATTTTACTTAAAAAAAAGTCCCGTTGACTTTCTTGAGGATCCCAGGTCCATAGTCATAGGCAAACAATACTTTCAATAAGAATTATTTGTAAATAACATTGTGTGAAAAGTATTCCATTCAAAGAATTGGAGCTATGTCTAAATAAAAATGAAACAGAGGGAGTCCACATCCGCAGGGATGATTTACCTTAATTATAACGCTTGGCAGGCGAATTAAGGATCTCAGTAGCAAACGTTGCGCAACGTCTATCAATAGTTTGACATCCGGTCAAACTATTTTACACCTAGTTGTGCTGTGTATTTATCACAGATTATCTCCTAATAGATTCCGCATACAGTGCCACAAACGCGCGCAACACATACTTGCTGTAGCTAGCATATGAAGTGACGCTAAGAATCACGCTGTTATTGTCGACCAAGTTTGTGACCCGTAGGCACGTCCGAGTTTTTGAAAATTTAAAAATTATTTTGGTATCCAAAATATATTACAAACGGCTTCCTATGCAGTGAAATGGTGTGGCAAGTCAGCTAAGACATCCAGTTATCAAAAAGATGGCATAATATTTCATCATAATATTTATTCTTATCACGTTAACCTATTTCAAATGCACCAGAGTTCAACTTACACTGGTATTAAATGTTGCAAAGTGATATCATTTGAGCACCGTTAATGTCTTTTTAATATGTCCCTTTCACTCCTTACGTAAATTAAAATAGTTGTCTTTGTCTAACGACAGCACGTGTATCGATAGTGTTGTGATTTATAAGTCGATATTTGTTTGGTCATCGTTTACCTTTCTTTTGTAGTCATTATTTTTTACAAATAGTGGCGTATAATTGTGGTACCTATATGTTATAGGTTTCCTAAATGCCCCGAAAGGGAAAGATGTGGATCGAGGCTACATGTCGAGGGGACCAATGGTTTCTCACCAAAAATAGTGTGCTATGCTCAAGACACTTCACAGAAGACAATCTTCATATCGAGGGTTTACTGCAAAAACCAGCTAAGTTCAGCGAAGTTAGTTTTGAGTTAAAGAGTTCTAAAAGTTTACACCTAATTTAATCACTAAAATTTTGGTAGGTCTTACATACATTAGTAGTCATATGTTAGAATATTTATATAAGATTATGTTTATGTGAAGTCTGAATAAATATGTGTGACAGAAATCTTGAAATAAGGATTTTTTCAAGTAAAGGCGTGCAGTTAGTCGGTTTTACATGTCAATTGCTAAAATGCAGTTTTACCGAGATAATTGATGTTTTATATGGTTTGTGATTAATGATGGGTAACTGATAATAAATAACTACGTTTTAAATACTGAAACAATCATAAAAGAAATAATTTATTGTGTAAGCTATGAAAGAAAAAAGTAAGTTGGTTTTACCTGTAAATGTTTTTTAACTTTTAGGATAAAAGTGTTGTAAAATAAGAGGTTAAATTCACAATATTATTTTTATTGACTAATAAAAATTATAATAGAATCAGTTTGAAAGTGGAGAAGAAGAGTGTGGAGTGTAACTACTATAGTATTTTCATTAAATTTAACAAATATCTTAATTATTAAGAAATCACTCTTCTTCTCCACTTACAGTTTCATCTACTGCTGGTTCTGGCAATTTATCAATAGCTTGACTGTCAACATTTAAATTTTCAAACCAACCGTGAACTTCCTCTGGTATGATGCCTTTCCTACATAGATTTAAAAGATCTTTTTTCTTGGCCGCGCTTATTTTAAGTGGCTCTTTATAAAGGCAGTTTAATTGATCTGGAAATCGATAACTTACAGGTAAATCATTTTCAGTAAGTCGTTTCTTCTTCCTTGTTGAATAGTTGTGATTCTGCGCGCCATCTAATTGGAAAGTTGATGGATTGTCTCCAATATCCATTACGTTAAATTCGTCGCTCATGTCATAGTTGAAATAAATTTTTCTGTCCTCCCCTTTAACATATTTTATCCGCTTTATCTTCAACCATTGAACTTGTTTTCCTTTCTCATCTTTCGTTCTATTTTTCATAATCTCACCTGTTCTCTTGTCATTTTCTTACCATCAATTTTAATACTTTGCCTGCGTCTAGCACGTTTGAAAATAGAAATCCATTCCATCATGGAAAAAACAGAGGTATTTTTTTTTGCAAATTCTATACTACTGTGCATAGAATCTGCTTCCATTTGCGTGTGCCCAGATTCTAAAAACTTTTGTTCTATGACTTTAAGGTGGTCAATTTTTTGGACTGCCCAAAGAAGCAAAGCAGCCACAAATTGGTTTCGGTTTTGGCCACCACAAGTGTCTGAAAATAAGCTAATTTCTGTAACATTATCACAGACACAATTTAAAAGGTAGTGTAATAATATGGTTCAGAACTGCCTTTCCTTCCATTTACCTCTGACCATGTAAAACAAAAGGCATTATTGGGTAGAGCTGCTTCGTAGATTGTGAGGTTGTATACACACAACTTTCTTGAATAATAGAGCAGACCTACGTCGCTGGCAGGTATTTGAAGTACTGCTTGCAAATCAAATGTTACAGAGCTAAAATGCTCATCTGTGTTTGATCTAACTTTATCCTTCTCTTTTTCTCGATTGCAAATTTTCTTTCTTTCTTGGTGAGCTAGGTAGTCATCTTCAAGTTCTCTTTTTTTCTCTGTATCTGCTTTAGCATAATTAGTGCATATTAAGCATTGATCTTTCCTGGGCACGAAAAAACTCAGATTATACTCTTTTGAAAATATTCTACGGTATGTTATTTCAGAAGCTGGCTCAGAACCATTTTTTAAACACTCATCTTTGTACAATAAATACATCTTTCGAATATTAAGATTTTATCTAAATACCTACGTTTGGTGTCTTTTCTACTATAATGGGCTTCCATACAAGGAAATGATTCGATGTGTTTTTTTTATTCCTTGGATAATGTCAGGTTTCGTTTTATTAACTGGTTCGTGTGCACCTCTTTGGTCATTTACATCAAAACAGTTCATGTCATTCCGTTTATTGATTGCATCAGTTATTACTGCAGGAGAAATACTTAAAGTATTACAAAAAAATTTCTGACATACCTGTTTTTTTTAAATTTTGTTTAGTAAAGAAACACTTCTTTGTATATTTTTTTTCTGGACGACATCGATTACGCACAGAGAGAACTCTTTTTGGCATTTGAATGGTAACATTGGCTAAAATAAAATTCTTTCTGCCCAGAAAATCTAAGTTCCAAAAGAATCTACAAAACTTATCTCTATCAGTAGTATCAAAGACATCAGTACACTTAAATTGACACTTGGAGCAATCTATCTCTTTTGGTACCTTAGCTGGTTTGATGTTAGCTTTGGATTTATAAAGCAAACCATCTGCTCGTCTTTTCTTAACTACATTACGAGCCCAACTGCTTGGGTCTGATTTTCGCCATCTTTTTAACGGTTCAATAAGTAACCAAGCTTTTTTAAAAACCTCATCCAAAATATCTTCAATTATAGCTGTAATTTCGCGATGTTGTTCATAACCTTGGTCAAAAACTTCAATATTGTTCTGTATGTGCTCGACATCAAACTTTTCAGCATTAAAATTTTCTTTGTTTCCTAGTAAATCTTCTAATGTTACAAGATTGTTGGAATTTTCGTTTTCCAGTTGGTGAGAGAAAATTGGCAGGCGATAAGTTGGGTCGTCAGCATCGGAAACATCTCCAAATAAACTTTCCAATTCTGTTTCAACATTATCATCAGAATCTTCGCCTAAAAGAGACACAAATGCTAAGTTAAGATTCAGATTAAGAGGTCTTAAATTATAAATTTTGCATGTACTTTATTAAGAAAAAAGATAGTATTTTTACCTTTTTGGTATTTAGAACAGCATGCCGTAGATTTAATGAGAGTATTGAAGAACGTTTCGTTACCCGGACCATCTAAAAATACAGTATAAAGTTTAAGCATTTTGATTAGTATTGGATCTTATTCTTTTTTTAAACGTTTAATTAAACGTTTAATGTTGGCATTTAACTTGTCATTTTTATAAACCTTGACACAAGCCATCCATGTTTATTTGAATACTAGAAAGTATGTAAAAAAGTCGTCTTTATCGATCTCAAACGCGAGTGATAATATAATAGTCTATAGTAGTATGTACTATTATAAATTAAGTACTTAATATTTTACCATGAATTTGTGAATGATGAAAGTCTATAGCATCCGCGTTGTTATAAGATGTAGATTGAATTTCTTGAATATCTACCAGGCCTGCATATGAACTTTGTTCATTTTCTAAAAAATAAACAACTCTATAAGAAAAAATGAACAGAAATTGTAATAAAACTTCGTTAGAAAACACAACCTCGAAATTTAACTTACCAGAAACCTTTTCACAATTTACGGCCACTAAAGATACTAGTTTTTTTCCTCTTGACATCATCTTAACAAATATAATCTGTCACAACACTTACAATTACTAAAAAATAAATTTAAATACTATGCCCGATACATTCACGGTCTTTTTCGCGGTAAACACTCCAAGCGAACTAAGCCATCGGCAACCTGTTAAAACGTGTTGACCGCGGTTATTTTTTTTCCATAGTGTCACATGACGACAATTCAATCGAAGTATATTGCATAAACAAGCTAGAATCGCTTAGTCGGTTTTACATGCTAACGATCCGAGATAAATGGAATATTTTAGTACAAGTATTTACAATTAAAGTTATATAGACGGTTTTTGCAGTAATGTTTTAATGGCATGATAAACAAGTATATTCTATTATATACGTTTATGTATTTCTAGTACTTTTTTACTGATTGTTCGTGAGAACATTTTGCGTAACCTATCAAAAAGAGAAAGGATTTAAGAACACTTAAAACTTTTTTCGGGATAACATTAAATGGAAATTTATTAGTAAAGAACTTTATGTTATTTTAGCTATTAAGTATAGGCCATTTTGCTTGATTTAACTGGTTTTACCATGAAATAAATTCTAAACGGCTTAACGTATCACTTAGCCGGTTTTACCAGCATATAGAGCTCAAAAAACTTAGTACCTTCATGTATTTAACAAATTTTTTGAAAAATTGTCATTTAGCAGGTTTTTGCAGTAAACCCTCGATATTATGAAAAACCGTAGAAGGCTGTTGGATTCCGCTATCCCATATCCATACTTGCCAGTTTTAGTATGGACTTTTACATTTAAAAAAAATAATACCAATGGTGAAAATTACACAATAAGTAATAGCATTAAGTGGTTGATTGAAACGTGATATTCCAATATTTAGGCGAATTTTACACGACGAAATTTAACTATTTTTAACGGATTTATAAACCATAAAACAAGTGAAAGTTATAATGTGATTAATGTTATTCTAGTGTTACATGAACTTCAGTAATATCCTATTATTATTATTATTATTAAGTACATCTAAATTTGAAACACGTACCGTATGGTTTTTTAATTAATAATACTACTTTTAGGTGCTACACTAGGCGAAAATACTGTCACCACCGAAAGTACCCGAACACACACAAAGGATTCACACCATTTTGTTAGTGAGATAAAAGACCTACATCTAGCTGACAATGAAACTATGGTCAGTTTTGATGTTCAGTCACTATTCACATGCCTACCTACTGAAGACTGCTTCTCAATTGTAACTAGGAAGCTACAAGACAACAACATGCCTGCAGAATATGCAATATTACTCAAACACTGCTTCACATCTGACTATTTTTGTAGAAGGAAGAGTTCTACAAGCAAGTTGATGGTGTAGCGATGGGCTCACCTGCATTTCCTATAGTCGCCGACATATATCACGGAGGATTTTGAAGAGAAACCCTTCTTACTGCTCCTATAAATCCAAGATTCTACAAGCGGTACGTAGACGAAACTTTCAAAATTTTACCGTCTGACAAAGCAACTGCAATTTAAACCACCTTAACTCCATAAGCAGCAAATAATACTTTAGCTTTCCTAGATGTTTTAGTCATCCGAAATCCTGATAACACTATTGGTCATACTATGTATAGGAAAAAGGCCTATACCAACCGATATTTAAATGGTGAATCTCATCATCATTCTTCATAGTCTGCTACTGTGGGTAAATATTTGTTTCAGAAAGCACAAGAGATCTGTGACAGAATACATCTGGCTGCCGAGCTTCAGCATGTCATATTGCACAAGCTTTGGGTCCCAAACCTACGTCACAGCGACCGAGTGAAGCCGGCCACAATTGGTGGATGGGTGCTGCCATCTGCTTGGGATCCTATAACTATAGGATATAATATATAAATATAATTGGACTTCAAGATACTGTAAGCTCGTTTTATGTAGATCGGGACGAAAAATCAATATTCTAAAAGTGAAGATAGCCGGGCTAATTATGATATGGAGATGTCTAACATAACATTTAAGCCTTTTAAGAAATATATATATATATATTTATACATGTAATCTAATGATTTCTTAAATTTACGCGAACATTACACATTGAATAAAACTATATAATTTTATAGATTTTATCGCGTTTAATTAATTTATGTCCACGGGGGCTTAAATGCCCTGTCCCATCACTATGGTTCGGAGCAGTCTAAGTTCAACCTTGAATTATCCAATCACAGCGCCTTTGACACGTCCCCCGCGACCCGAAATTTGGTGAAATCGAAACAGAACAAATATTCCATGATGCGGTATCTATTAGGAGGTAATCTGTGGTATATATATATATATATATATATATATATAATATATATATATATATATATATATATAGGTAAGGTGTAGGTTAATATACAAAAATCTTTCAGAGGCCATAAAACTTTTCGGGATTTTCCATTAACACCTCTCGACACGACAACTTTTCATATTATTATTATTACAATCATCAGTACAGCCGTTCACAAGTGTACTGCTGGATATAAACTTCTACTGAGGTATATCATCAACTTCTTGCATATCTTCCCAAGTTGTCACTCCGGGCGGGAGTTGCCTACGTTATATACAATATTGATTCGTCGTGATATTTGAAGTTTAACAAGGAGCTCTATGAACGAGCGAATTCAACAATTACAGCGATTGAGGATAGAAAACTTATTTTTGAATTTCATTACAAGATCGTTTTACAACATCCCCTGCAAAACCCTTTCAGGCAGAAATAATTTATTTTTATAGGCCTCACTATCTGACAATAAATCGTGATAGTGACTTTGCTAAATTGCTGTTAACGTTCAAGAGTCGCCAATAAATATTTATTACGACTATTGAATCCGATTGGTTAGACATAAATTTTCTCCTTAAATTCGAGTTTTTGTCGGAGGCGTAATAGAAGCAACAGAGAAAAATGAAGTAGGAAACCTGCAGCAACATCTTCCTGACAACAACAGAAAATAATAAAAAATTCCGGATGTCAACCCACTTGTCATGCGTAATAAACATGACGAATCTTCTTATGAGATAAATTATATTGATAGTGTATAATGATAATGATGGTGATAAAAAAGCAGTTTTACATTGTGTTGTTTTTATTTTCATATCATTTTATCTGTGTAGATAAAGAACTAAATAATAAATATATGATTTTATAAAACGTTATCACTAGGATCTCTTGTATTTACATACATAAATTGCGCTTGAACTGACATCAAAAATTGGAAATACCAATTGCAGACCAATGACACTTGTGCTGCGCGGGATTCAGCACCGCGGGAACCTTTAGCCAATTCGCTATTAAGTCATCAAATAACTCATCACTCGTACACAATATTGTGCATCTGAAGACTTATCTGAAAATTAAATTTTTATTCAAATTATGAGAATAGAATCTGTGGTTCCTCGTGCTATGGTAGTCTGCAATAACTAGCAATTAAGAATTATGGTTCAAATCGTGGTACAATTTATATATAGAATAGATTCGAATTATTTTTATTTATCACTATTTTCAATTCTTGTAATCTATATTACAACCCAAGAATTTAAAATCATTTATGATTTACTACTGGCACAGAAAAAATCCTTTGTACCTGGAAACAACGAGCAAGAAACCCATCAAAACAACATAATTTTACAGTCTTTTGGGTTCGAAGTTGGCTGCAAGTATCCATGGACTGCAGTAGAAACTTACCACTGGGTTATTTTAAGTTCGTTTGTCACTTTGCTTTTATGAAAAAAAAAAGGAATTGCACTTCTTTTCCTAAGTTAAATTAATAATAATTATAATGAAGATAATAATCATAATGTTGATGAGACTGCGTAAATACAGTAAAACATTGAACGTGGTGTAGTAGTAGAACTGTTCATCATCAGAGACCACGGTACTGCTTGCTCAGGTAGGTTTCTGAACTTCATAGAATCAACATGCGTGCCTTCGCATAACGAAAGTATCGAGCGCCGAAAATTTATACGCGCTGACGAAAAATAATCGTCAGCACGTGCAAGTTTTGTCATACGTATTGTTATTTTAATCTTCTAACATTAAAACTTAAAGCGTTTCGTTAATGTGTTCGTGAAAAAGGCAATCTACTTTATTTATTAATATTATAGTATGACAAGTTTAATGCCATAATATATTATCCCTTCAAGCGAGAAGGATTTCTCTGTAGACAGAAACTTCTTGAAATTATAATTTTATAATATTGGATTGAATTGTTTGGAAAGGACCATCTAGTGTTATTATTTATATGTGTTCCAGCCAAGGCCTCATTAGGCTTTCAGTTAACAGCCTAGCATTTTAATATTAACTGGCAGCCTGAATGTTATTCAGCTAATACGTTTCAACCAATGCATTTTATACATTCAATGTCTTATTATGCCCTATGTGCTATCTCTTTATATAAAATCAGTAGCGGTTCGTTAGTCCCGCAAAAACTCGAAAATGGATCGACTGATTTTGGTGAATTTTTGTGTGTATTTGAGTAGTTTACTGGATGGTTTAAAAACTCAGTTGAACCCGGTAGGTGTAGCTGTTGTCGAAATCCAGAAATCCTTCGTATAAAGCTTGGGAGGATCACTAGTATTATATATATGCGACTTTAGGGTTGCCCAAATCTAAGCCAACCTTAACGTACTGTCGCTGATATGATAAGATATTTGCTATGTTGTATTAAAAGCATCGACTGAATATCGTTCAAGACCCTAGTTGAACGGATCTATTTTGTAAAAGGCTGGCTGTTAACCGAAAGGCTAATTAAGTTAGTTGGGTAAGACATATATTTGTATAAAAATAATGGACACAGAAATTAGAGGTAATTACAATTTAACTCTCTTTTCTTTGTATTAAATATCAAAAGTTTTGTAAACAACTATACAGTTTTGTTAATAATAAGGTGAATGCGGTGAAAAACTAAAAAAATATATTGATTGTAAAATAAAGAGAGAGAGAGAGAGAGAGAGATATCAAATGGACTGTAAATTTATTTGATATATGCGGGAGAAC